AAATATTTGTACCGCTGGTTCTCAAGGGCCACACTTGACAAGACCTGCTTTGGAATGCCTGTACCACTTGGCTGTGAATTCTGTACATCCTCATTGTCCTCTCAGCTGTCAGGCTCTAGGCTAGACACTGGAGAAGACTTCTGCTCAGGCGAAAATCACCCGCAGGACAGCATTAAACCACCAAACAGATGACAAGATCGAAGCATGGGAAATGCAGGGTTAAAGGAATAGTTACCAAAGTAAAGTTTTTTATTAGCTAGTTTGATTGTGTTCACGACTGTCTGGATGCCCCAAACATCTATGAATCGCACAGCCTGTATTTCTGCTAACAGTCTCAGTTTTCCTACTCCTGTAAGCAGTTTTCTGCTGCTCGCTCTTTTGAAATTCCCAGCATTTTCTGAATTCCACCGGACCAGCACATCTTTGTGTCTTGATTTTTCTTTCTTCAAAAGTCGTTTTTGAGTGTTGCACTTTGAAGGTCCAGGCTGGCAGGGTGACAGATATGAAACAGCACCAAAGAAACATTTGAGGAGTGGGGGAAGTTTTACAACCAGCAGCCTTAATGAAAAGCAGCTCGCTAGGGACAGTTGCACCATTTTTTAATTTTGTACAGTACGGTTTTACAGCGATTATTAAAGCCTGTAATTCTAACCCACTCTGTCGCCTAGTTTTGTTTTTTCAAAATGGACCAATCTTCTCTGCTGGCTGTTCCAGTCAGGCCCAATTTAGCACAACAGTTATACTTTGAGAATGTAAAAAAAAATATGTCCTCACTCATTTACAATTCAAAGATATTAGCAGAGAACAAAATAAAGAGTATATTCAAGCATGTTTATTCAATTATTAGTATTTTTTTTTCAGAGGTAGTTTGAAAAAGTTGAATACTGTTTTACTGAATATGTAGAAAAAGACCTGTCCTTTTTGCCAGTGTGTTTGCTTTTATTACTAATTTTATGTAGCTGTTTGTTTTTGTCAGTGTTATGTAACAGAGGGAGATGTACTGATAACTGCTTTTATTCATGTTCCAAATTATAACCATTGTTATGTGAGGACATTAAAAACGTTCAATGAATGATTCAGTCAAAAAGAGATAAAAAATGACAGGATGCCTTCAGACAGCCTTACTTCTTTGGTTGTTAGTAACTTCCACTTACAAGAATTACTTCAATTGTTTCCTGAGGGAGTTCGATTAAACCTCAGAATCATGTTTAGCTACTTTGTTCCAAACACCCACAGTTCTACGAGTCATGAAGATGATCTATAGAAAATGTAGTCTATTTTAAAAGAGAACATTGTATCACCACTTATCAACACTTTCTCACACAGAAATATAGAAATATATATAGTTAAACTGAAGCACATATTTTTGCTTAAGATATTTTATAGCTTACTGACTATGGGACAAGGCAAATTTTGATAAGACTTCAAACAGGCGATTGAGGTGACAATCCTTTTCACAAATTCGGTGAGCTACTATGCTTCATGAGAGAAAAATTTAAA